TATCATTAGTTTGTAGCCTTTGGTGGTATTTCTTTTTAATTAATTTAATTTAATTAATTTCTTTGGAGCACCAATTCATACGCTTTAAATGCTCTTGCCACAAGTTCAACCTTTTCCCACTCTGTCAACCGGACTCAACCAAACGAAATCCTCGTATTCAAGCTTCTCCTTTGTTGCCATAAACAGCCAAAGTAAAATGACTATTTGCAATATAATCTTCTATGAGAACATAAAATATAAACAACTCAAATTCTCCATATCTCTCAAAATATACCCTTTGGATTCGCTTACTTTTATAAGTTTATCTCTTATACCCATGTGATATAAAGGTGAGATTGACATTGGTATCAGGTTACACTCTCGCACCTGGACGTCTTTCTTCTTTCCCGACAGCTTTGTTGTATTGTTTTTAAACATGATTCTTTTGTAATGTTGTTTTGTTTAAACAAACACAGACGTAAAAGCCTACCTCCTCCGCAGGCGCTTAGGGTGCATTTCGGGCAGGTTCGGAAAATGCGGGTTGCAGGCGAGAGCGCCTGCCGAGTAATGCTTTCAAGATGGCGTATGCTATAAATCGAAATTTTCATTTTGACTTTACTATTATGACTTAATATACAATATACATACCAGCACTGATCTAATAGATCTAAATAATATTTAGAAATAGCATCCAGTGGTCTTGGCAGACTAAAAGTACTTATAACTAGCCGCCGCTTTTCTATGACGATGGAGACTGTCTAATATAAAGTGTTTATACAAATTATGCCAATGCAAATACAACATCAACGATATTATATCCGCTTTCTACATATTTTGCGACTAAGCCTATGATAAGCCATTCCAAATACTTTAGATAAGATTCAAATATCAGTCTGCATGAAACATTAAAAGCACAATTTGAAAGATAAATATGGTGAAATTATATTTGCATATTAAAAATATACATTTACAATGTAAATAGAAGTAATATAGCGTCTCATTGTTCGCTTGTTCTTTGTCTTTTGAGTATAATAACACAATGTCTGCATGTAGAATCTCCATTACCACAAAAATCTACATACCAAGTCCATTTCAGAAAACGATATATTGAGAGTATCCACATCGCTGCCGTCGAACGATGAGCACAACATATTAATTGTCAACATATGGCGTTATTCAAGCGTGTCCTGTTCATAGCGATCGATATCATTGTGTTACGACTGCTTGTTATGAATTGCATTATAAAACGCGTCAATGATCTACATGATATTTAATCAGGTAAAATACATACATATTTCCATTTCACAGAATGACATATTATTAAGAACGTCAACATCGTCGAAATCCTCGATTTTCCCCTCTGTTCGTCGCTGCTTTCGGCCATGACTGCCCTGAAGTATCACAAATACTCTACCATACACGGGACAGTAGTTTTGGGATAGGATGGTTCATATTTCACGAAGATTTTTAAGGATTGAAAACCGATACCCGGGAAACGTCACTTCTGCCCAGGAACCGACTATTATTCAGCAGGCCTTTCGTCGCCTTCCGTTCTTCCCTGATCTCAAATTTCACGCCCGCAAATTATTCCCGCCCGCATCGAAAGGCCTGCGGAGGAGGTAGCGTAAAAGCCCTGTTTTCGCCGTTTCGTTGTCGTAAATCCACTGTAAACAGCTCGCCGAAAGGTGTCGCAGAAATCAACATATTTACGCATTTTCCCCAATCAGATTCCATTGAAATCTTTACCAGTACTTTAAAAATACACACAGATCAGCCAGAATACAAAAGTTTGGACTATCTTTTAATATAGCATGAGAAAATCAACAAAACGTCCACAAAAAATTATCGCTCACTCATTAGTAAAATATATGGCAGCCATGGCTTGGCCGCGCGCTCGCCCCAATGTTTTGCACCTCCGGCAATATGGCGGAATAAACCTTGAAAGGGCCTATTAGAGGAGTAAAGTTTGACTGCTTTTTGTTTCAAGTATAATTTATGATACGCAAGGTTTTTTATTTCGTTTGTCATCCAAGGACAGTGCTCACTTTGGACTTTCCGAATCCGAAGTGGAGTATGCATATTTGCAATGTCAAGAAAAATAGTTTTCCATACCTCCCACGAATGATTTGGGTCGGTATAATTATAGAGGTTGTAGTGTCTTTGAAATGCCATTTTTAGGTCGTATTGAAATGCAGATGAATTAAAGTATTTAAACTGTCTTGTTTCTACAATTTTTGGTTCGGCCCTTGGTATTCCTACTAGCTTTGCGACAAATGTACACTAAACTGTGATCGCTTAGACCTGAATGTATCACTCCAGAGTCAATAATTTTGGCATATGTTGGCGTTATTCTAGTCGGACTTGCAATGTGTTGCTTTGGCTGAAACTCATTTATCAGATCGGATAACCATTTTGTATGATGGGTGGGGTATTTTGCCACCATATCGTAATTTAGGTCGCCAGTGATAATAATATCAATGTTTGTATCATCTAGTTTTCGCAGTAACGTTTCGAAATTGTTTAATATGCAAGTATTAGAATTTGGTGGGCGATACCATGTAACAGTTAAGAGTGGTTTTCACTTAGGTTTTTGAATTTCGAGACAAATAGATTCTAAGTTGTCTGGAATGAATTCGATATGGTTTTTATAACTAATGATACTTCTTATATAAATTGCTACACCGCCACCATTTCGATCTCGGTCTCGTCTTACAATATCATAACCTGGTATCTTAATAATATTGTCGTTTATTGTGTTGTATAATCTAGTTTCGTTTATGCAAAGAATATCGAATGATATTTCCTTCATGAATAATTTAAGCTCATCCATGTGTCTCGGCAAACTAGTTATGTTTAAGTGGCCAATTTTAAAACCCTTTAGTTTTGGATAAGATTTATTAATTTGGAAAGGAATTTTTGGACTTTTCTTCGAGGTGCAGCGTGCTGGACTATCAGAAATATCTTTGTCGACTATATTATTATCATCGTGTCTTATGTCATTATTATTATCATTACTGTAATGTATTTCTCGTGTAGCCGAGTAAGGATTGAATGCCTAAATAACCTTTAATCTCCAAATAAGTGTAATAACGACTATTTCTAAAAAGAACTCCTCGCCCTCTCAACTCTCTCTCGAGACTCTCTCGCGCATGCGTCTATACACAGTACTTCATATAATCAATATATAACAACTGCCCCCTCTTTAAGTGTCCCTGCACTGTAAACGTTAAACCCGTAACATAACACAACAATCTACCTAAGTTCAAAATGTTTTTACTATTCAGTAAACCTTTTAGGAGGTTTACGCTCGCGTAAAGGATACCTTCTTGTGGACTCGCTTGGTGTAACGTTAATAAGTGAGTCCATTTTACTAGTAAGTTCCCCACAGTCCCGATCTTTACTTTTCGTGTTAACTGGGGTGAACGTATCGAACTCGTTCTTAACCCCACTTGGTACTGCAGGTACCCTATCCTCCGTGTGTGCTGGAATCGTTTCTCTTTTGTTTGTTTCTGTCTTCGGTTCTGGGAACAAATTTTGTTCCATCTCGGACTTCGCTTGTTCCGCGTTTTCAAAACTAGGTATGTGTCGTGGACACAATTGCTCTTCATGTCGTTTCCACACAACATCCCCCACTTTCACGCACTAATTTCTAGGACTAATTATCTTTACTATAACCCCTGGAAGCCATCGTGCTCCTTTGCCAAAATTTCGTGCGAATACTGCTTGATTTTGACTGTACTTTGGTTGATTATCTAGATTATCTTGAAATATTTTGACTTCATTTTTCGATTGTTTCGCCCTAAGCGCACTCAATCGGATCCGTGGTTGCCTGTTCATTAGCAACTCTGATGGCGACTTTCCTAAACCTGTAGGGGTAGCTCTGTACGTCAGCAAAAACCGGTCTAGTTTTGTCTGCAATGGCTTTCCTGTGTCCCCCATTTTCTTTAGTTTATCTTTAAAATTTCCCACATACCTTTCTGCCAATCCATTCGTTGCAGGATGTCCTGGAGCGGTTGTAGTATGTTGAATATTGTTATCGTTCAGAAATTTCTGAAACTCCTCACTGGTAAATTGGCTACCATTATCTGAAACAATGTGTTCAGGTAGTCCAAAATTGCTGAAAATATGTCGTAAAGCTGTTATGGTGGTAGTTGAAGTAGCATTAGACATTGGGACAATGTCAAGATACTTGGAATAGGCGTCGACAACGACTAAGAACATTTTCCCTAGATATGGACCTGCGTAATCTATATGAATACGCTTCCAAGGGCCTCCAGGCCAAGACCATGATGCTTGTTGAGATGCATTTGGTGATTTGGCTTCTTCCTGACATGCCATACAAGACTTAACTGTTTCTTCAATTTCTTTGTTGAGTTTAGGCCACCATAGGTATTTACGCGCCAATTGTTTCATCTTCACTATTCCGAAATGTTCGGCATGTAAATCCTTCAGTAGAATATCGCGTAATGATTCTGGAATTGCAACTCGAGTGTCCCATAACAAAATTCCATCTTCATGTGATAATTCTAATCGCCTAGTATGATAAAGTTGTAATTCCGTTTGTGGTTTTTCTGGCCACCCATTCTTCGTAAAATCTAGTACTTTACTTAAGACTGGATCTTTCTTAGTTTCCATGGCAACCATTGTGGAATTAACAATTTGTTCTCCTTCGATAAACATGACTCTAACCTCTACCTGTTCCTCCGGAGTTGGTTGTATGTTAATAGGTTTCCTTGAAAGAAAGTCTGCATAGACATTTTCTTTTCCAGAAATAAACTCAATCGTGTAGTTGTATGCTGCCAGAAGAAGGGACCATCTCTTAATCCGTGCCGACGCTAACTGTGGAACTGACTTATGTTCCCCCGGTAAAGTAATTAACGGTTTATGGTCTGTTAGGAGTTTAAAATGTCTGCCAAGTAAATACTGACGGAATTTTGTAACTCCAAATACAATTGCTAACGATTCACGTTCAATTTGAGCGTAATTTTTCTCAGCTGCATTAAGAGTTCTAGAAGCGTATGCTACTGGTTGTAATGTGCCATCATGAACAGTACAGCTCCAACTCCTATAGAAGATGCATCACACTGGAGTACCAGCTCAGCAGCTGGGTCGTAATGTCTTAATATAGAATCCGAACACAATGCCGACTTGATAGTGGTAAATGCTTCCTGTTCAGTTTTACTCCATTTCCATGGAGTTCCTTTCCGAAGTAATTTGTACAAAGGTGTCATAATTTCTGCGAACCCTCGCACAAACTTACGCAGGAAATTTGCTGTACCAATAAAAGATTGCAACTCAGAAACATTTGCCGGAGGGGCGGCATCTTTGATGGCTTGCACTTTCTCCTCTGTTGGTGAAATGCCGGCTTCCGAGATTGACCTTCCCAAATAAATAACTTCCCCGAGCATGAAATGGAATTTCTCACGCTTGAGTTTAAGCCCGCTCTCTAGTAATCTTTGCAGAACACGATGCAAATTCTCCATATGAATCTCATCAGTTTTCCCTGTTACCAAGATATCATCGATCCGAACGCAGCATCCCGGAAGACCTTTGAATACATTTTCTATGGTACGTTGGAAGATGGACACCGCACTGTTTACCCCCAAAACTAATCGTTTGTACTGGTATAACCCATGATGGGTATTTATTGTTGTGTTCTTCCTACTTTCAGGGGTGAGTTCTAATTGATGGTATGCCTGTGAAAGATCAAGTTTCGTAAATTTCGTTCCCCCTGAAAGGTTGCTTAGTAACTCTTCAAATGTAGGTACTGGATATTGTTCTAATGTAGCTGCCTGGTTAATTGTACCAGAATAATCTCCACAGATCCTTACATTGCCATCAGGCTTAATCACAGGAACCGTCGGTGAAGCCCACTCCGAGTGCTCTACTTTTTCAATAATATCACCCTGGACTAGTTTCTCTAATGCTTCTTCGTATTTTTTCCGAATTGCAAAAGGTACCACTCTGGGTTTCATAAACACTGGGTTATCATCATTTACTCTTAATGACACTTGTACCTCCTTCAGTTTTTCTACTCGTCTTTCATCGAACAGTTCAGGATATTGTTGTATAATATCCTCTGCAGTGGTAGGAACAATACTGAAAATGTTGTGCCACGGTAGTCTAAATTTAGTCATAATATCATGTCCTAGTAGTGATGGTCCTTCAACCACTCGAATTTTTATGTCACTTACTTGTTCTCCCACTTTGACTTTCATGTTGTCTTCTCCATAGCACTTGACTTCATTTCCCGTATAACTTCTCCATAGCACTTGATTTCATTTCCCGTATAACACTGTAGCAGGTTTCAAAACATTTGTGTCACCACCCATTCTTTCAAAATCACTAGAATTTAATAATGTTACTGAACTTCCAGTGTCAATTTCCATGGAGACTTCTTGACCATTAATATTCACTCCCAATTTGTATTGTGGCGAGATTTCTGATTTCTGTCCCACCGAATTTATATTCTGCATAAAAATAGTTACTGGTGTACCGTTAACAGAATTCATTTCACTGTCACTGCCACTAGATTCATCAGTATGTGTTGCTACAATGTTATGTGCCTTGGCATTGCTATCTGCCTTCTTTTTCTTGAAACATACTTTTGCCAAGTGTTCCGCCTTTTTACAATAGTTACATGTTGCATAGGTATGGCTGCACTTGTCTGCCAAATGTTGTGTAGATCCACATCTGAAACAAGTTTTCCCTTGCTCAAAAGGTTTTGCCTTGTTTGCATCCCCGCCTTTGAAATGATATTTCTTCTTGTTTGATATACTGTGGGCTTGTGTGGTTTCCGTTCTTTCAGCACTGAGAAGCAATTCTTTCGATTCTTTCTCTGCTAGCTCATCTGCTTGGGCAACCTTTACTGCTTGATCAAATGTCCTGTCTTCAGAAAGAAGTTTCTTTCTAGTACTTCTACTTCGAACGCATAGGCGTACCGGGCGGGGGGTGGCGGGGGGGGGCAATATTCGATCAACAGTCGGGCAATTTCGGTTTGCATTAAAAAAAAATGGGACAAATTCTGACAATTTTGTCTAAAATTAAGTCAATTTTTTGGCAAATTTTGTGATTTTTCGAAAATTTGTGTGAAATTTTTTTGACCCCTAAAATGGTACACTGACCGAAATTTTTTTGGCGACGGGGGGGGGCGAAAATAATTTTTCCGGAAAAAAATTTTTGGTACTAGTCGGGCAGAATCCCGAAAAGTCGGGCAATTTTCTTTCCGCCCCCCTAATTTTTTCCTTCCGGTACGCCCATGTTCGAACGCCCCCAACAAATTGATCTCGTAATGCCCTTGTAAGGCCCGTTTCATACGTCGCACTATCGTCGAATTTAATTCAGACAAATTTAATTGAACCAATTAAATGCGACGTTAGTGCGTCGTATGAAACGAATTAAATCCGTCTGATGAATTAAATTCGTCCAAGACGTTGTATCCGTCATGGTCAGACGGATACAACGTCTGTAGCGCGTCTTCGTTTCATACGACGTGTTATCGTCGTGTCGAATTAAATGCATAAATTATGTTAAAGTCTGTTTCTCTCTTTCTGGTCTCGTGGTTTTTACTTCTGGGTAATCCATGATCGCTAGACATGAAATGAATTCGTCTGAATTAAATTCGTCGTTTGAAACGAAACCATTTTAGTGTCGACCAATTGACGAATTTAATAACGAATTAAATTCGTCTGAATTAAATTCGACGTATGAAACAGGCCTAAGATAGGTGCCAAAATTACAATGAACAGCTAAACGTTTCAGTTTGTTTGCATATGGAGTTACACTTTCGCTTTCCGTTTGAACTGCTTGATGAAATCGGTATGTCTCTGCGACTTCGAGTACTTTCGGTTTGTAAAATCCTTTGAGTATTGTAATAATTTCTCCGTACGACTTTTCAGCTGGTAAATCAGGGAGGCAGAAATCTTTCAATGTACTGTATGTGCTTTTCCCCCAGGCCCGGAGCTACGGGGGGGTGTGGGGGGGGGTGTGACACCCCCCCAGTAATTGTATTCAGTCGGCAGGACTGCTATTCAGTCGGTAGGACTGCTATTCAGTCGGTAGAACTGCTATTTGGGTTAAATATTTTTGGCGCAAAGGGCAAGAACGTGTTGCGAAATTTAGGAAAATTTTGAGGAAAAATGTTAAAATTTTGGAAAAATGTAAAAAAATGTTGAAAATTTGTTATGTCCGGAAAATTTTTGAATGTTCCGGTAAATTTGTGTACGTCCGGAAAATTTTTGGACCCCTAAAATGATACACTGATCGAAATTTTTTTGGCGACGGGGGGGGAGGTCGACCAAAAAATTTTGTTCCGGAAAAATTTTTTTGAACCAGTCGGTTGAATTGAATTACACACCCCTAAAGAATTTCCTGAGGACGGCCCTGTTTTCCCCATCACCGAAATAGTTACGGCGACTTTCCTTTTGTCTGCAGCTTGTTTTGCAGCTTTCATTTGCATCTGCTGCGACTTGGCCAATGTTATTTGCAATAAAATATGCATTCAGTCTCTCACTGTAATCTATAAAATCCCACCCATCGAAAGGTTCCAGAACGCCGAAGCACGTATTATTTTGCTGTGCCATGTAATTTTAATCCTCATCGCCAATTTGTAATGTATTTCTCGTGTAGCCGAGTAAGGATTGAATGCCCAAAATAACCTTTAATCTACAAATATGTGCAATAACGACTATTTCTGAAAAGAACTCCTCGCCCTCTCAACTCTCTATCGAGATTCCCTTGCGCATGCGTCTATATCCAGTACTTCATATAATCAATATATAACCTAGTGCAAAAAAAAAATCCTTGCTTAGAAGATAGGCCAAGTGGTGTAGTGGAGGGAGGGCTCGGGGGCTTAGCACCCCTTGTTAAAATTTCATGTTCACTTGAGGGGGCTGAGCCCCCCTATGTTTTTGGCGCGTTACATAATCTTAACAACGTCAAAAACACACCCAAAAATATCAGTAAACGAGAATGTTCTTTAGAATTGTATCTCATTTTCAGTCATCATTTAACACAATAATGTTTTTGTATTCTTTATATCGCGTTGTTCATGCGCCATAGCAAATTGGCTGTTGAAATACCGATCCTGTTTTGTCTGATTTAAACTCTATCCAGGGCCGTATCAACGGGAGGGGCTTGGGGCTGCAGCCCCCCCCCCCCACCCCACCCCAATAATTTGCTAATAGTCATTCTTTTTTCAAAATCATGTGTCCTCTAGCGTTCGTCAGCAGGGTGAAGAGACATTTTGCCTGAGAGAGCAGGCAGCACTCGTTCCTACAGCGGGCAAGGCACAGGTTAACTCACCGCCCCCCATTGCAAGTATAGGCTGCCAAGGTTAGGTCAGTCCCCTCGGCGCATAGACCTATATAAAGTTTACGTCATCACTATACGGTCAGAGCAGTGCTCTCACTTTTAAGGAATTATCCTTAAAAATAGGAATTCTGAAGAGTTTTAAGGATTTTTTTAAGGAATTTAGGTTTTTGAGGATTTTTTTAAGGAATTTCCGAAACATTTTATCCTGGACTAAAAACGTTGGACGGAGGATGGATAACCACGCCACGCAAATGAGATTTAAACTTGAAAGTAGCAACATTATACGCACATAATTAGGGGGGGGCTAGGGGGCCCTGAGCCTAGGCTCAGATTCCAGCCGTTGTGTTCTCGCCACTCGCCCACTTAACGGCTGGGTCAATGGTTAATATTTCTTGTCTGTGACGTCAAGGTTAATATTTAAATTTATGCATATGTTTTGCATAATTATGTATTTCTGTGCAATGTAAAATGACGGCTGTCAGGAGCGAACAATTTTGTTTCGAAGAGGAAATAGCAAATTTTAACAACTTTGTGCATTCATCGATAACTTTTTTGTAAAGGAAAACAAAATGGAAGCTTTTAAGTTCATTTGACAAAATGTTATTAAGTTCTAGTATGTTTTCAACGAAGACAGAAACTGCAATGTACACGAGTCAATGAATATATTATATATCTAAATAGTAAAACAATAAACCCTACCAACAAAAGCAGGTGAATCTGAATAGTTAACGTCTTATTTCAAACAAATAGTTTTTCAATGAATATTCTTTGAAGAGGAACATAAATTTAATGTTAATATTTGAGTTGTTTATAGACTATAGTTATACGTAATGCAATTTTACGCCTTGTGATTAATATCTAAAAATTCTCGTTATGATCGATTTTGTTCGAGGGACAGTGAAGGAACTAAGTCTTTTATAGACCAAACAATAGTCTGTCAAGATATGATCATTATGATGGTCTGGAAGCCTGCAAACTTCAAAGCTACAAAATAGAAGACCTACAGTACTACAGTAGTGTTTGATGTTGAAGTGTACCTTACTTACTGTGCACCTTCATAGATTTGGTTAAACAGTCTTTTGATGTAGCAAGAATATTTGAAATTTAAAATGTTTTTGGCTTTATTTCGGTGTTGTATAAGTTGTCTGTACAAATGGATGCCGGGTGTGCTCATCGACCTATATATGGTTCAGTGTATGAGTGTTGACCAAGTCTGTGATCATTTGTAGCTACATACAGCAGTGAGGGGTATTATTGTGGTAATGGTGACAGGATATTGCCTTTCCAAATTGAAAAAAAAAATGATTTGATGAAATACCTTCCCCCCCCCCACCTTACACCCCTTTGCCAATGTTAAGGGGGTGCATCCCCATGGCAGTAAATACATCCAGGGATGGATCCAGCATGATCTGGTAGGGGGGTGCTCTGCCAGCTCTGGTGCCGAGTTGTGTCGGTCATGTGTGCCACCCACCCATCAACTTGCTTCACTACTGCAAAGTCCTGCTTGACTACTGTATTTAAATTGTAATTGTTGTTCACATTTCACTTATCATCATGTTATTACTCAAATTACTGTATGTCATTTTGTCTCTAATAATTTTTTGCTTTATCACGAAAAATAGCACACACCCCCCTGCACCCCCTCTGGCCAGGGCAAGGGGGGGCCCCCCAGTAAATCCATCCCTAAATACATCTCTGCAGGAATGCAAGAAGAATTTGGCTTCTTTTCTTCCATGAAAACTTAATCCCCCATGCCAGGATAATTTTGGTGTTTAACATTTTGATATTTTCTAACTAAAGTGTTACTGCAACAAATTTTCTGAACCCTTGTTTTATTAACTTAAATAAATATTCAATCTTTCAGAACTAGCAAGTAGCAATTTATCATGCTTTGTCATTTTCAGTCTGGCTTTCATATGAACAGCCGTTAAAAACACACATTGACATGACAACTATCCTTTTCATAATTATTAATACCATACTGACAAGGTTTCCAAAACTCAGCCTGAGGGCAAACATATTTGAGCTTGTTGAACAGACTAAATGCATATTTCACTGATGTCTGAATTTATAAAACATTGCATACTTTTATTCCATAAATCCTCTACTTAGGCTATCCAACAAGTCCCATTTTTTGCCCCTTCACAACAATTGGATTTATTTATTGCCCTTCAAATAACTATATGCCCACATTTATTCAAATAGTATTCATGGTAAATCATATTGTCAATATATAAAATAATATTGAATTTATTGTGCTTGCCTGTAATTAGCAATTAGCATATATGAGCACACTGATATATCAGTTTCAGTTCACAAATTACCTGCCCAGTTTAAAAAATATTGTCAAATGGCCAGGGGCGTAGGAACCAGGGGGGGCATGCCCCCCCCAAGTGGGGGGAGAGGTTGCCAACAAAAAATTGGAGATGCCCTTTTTTTTCGAAAAGTGCCCCTCAAAGCCTGCCTCATCAGCGATGGCTTTTCCCTCATCCCAAGATTGTTAACTAATTCGATCTTGGCTGTGTCGTACTCATCAGTGTCGGAGTTGGTGTCGGTTCCGGTGTCAGTTTGGGGTTCTGCTTCGATGCGTTTGATTCCTGCTTCCTTTTGTTTCTTGAAGCACTTGTTGGCATAGTGTCCTTTCTTTTTACAGTAATTGCAGATTCTGGATATGGCTGGGCACTCCGAAGCAGGGAAATGGTTCTCGTGTCCACACCGATTGCACTGATCTGTGGTCCCCTTCTGTTGTAACGGTTGATTTCGTTTGGCACCCACCTTGTTGACTACCTGTCGGGAGTCCCTGTCTATTACTTTACTTCGGGCCACAGCATCTTCCTTCTTTCTAGCGATATCTAAGATTTGGTCCAGTGTTCTGTCCTTCTGTAAAAATTTTAGGCGAAGGGTGTCATCTTGCATATTGCTGATGATCAGGCTTTTGATCATTTTCTCCGCCGACCAATTTGTAAAATCGCACTTGCTCGCTGCTTTACGTAGCCTCATCGCATAACTTGTAATACTTTCTGACGATTCGATTTTCATTCGGAGTAATTCAATGATAGCAAAGTCGTTGCACTGTTTGGGTGAAAAATGTATTTTCAATTTGGTTTTAGATTGCTCATACACGGTCCAGTTTTCTTCCTCTGTGCCTTCTGGTCTGCTTGGTTCTGGCAGAGTGTCGTGCAGGTCTTCCACCTCGGTGCCTGCGTATATTAACAGCGCCATTTTGGCTATTTCTGGTGTTTTACTAGGGTCACATCCGTTATACTTGAGGTCTCTCTCAAATCGTTCGAACCACTTTTCCCATCGTTTCCCCAGGTCTAACCGATCTCCGTGAGGATCGAAGGGTAAAACTTTTAGCTTGGGTCCTTTTGTAGCCGTAGCAGCTGTAGAACTCGTCGCCATTGTTGTACTGAACTCTCGGATACTTTATTTACTTAAAACAACCCGTTTACAAACTATCTTTTACTCTATATCGAGTCCGTATTCAAAACCACTGTTGTTGTCTTTTACCTTAAATCCCATACACCAAAAGGTGATTTGTCCCGATAACAGTCCGATCGTAATATCAACAAATGTAACACAACATATAACACCCCCCCCCCCAACTTTGCAAAGGTTCCTACGCCCCTGCAAATGGCCCAAACTAGCTTGTGGGAGATCTAACCATGCAAGCCTATTATTACCTAGCCATGGGCTCCATGAAAGGGCCTGTTTATAAAATCCCAGCTAGGCAGGATGAGGCAGTTTCCAAGATCCTGACTATCATATCAACTTGTGTTCAAAAATACATATATATATATTTGATGAACTCACTCACGAACATGTATAAACATGACATCCTAGCTGCCTGGCAAGGTTTCCCACTTTCCCACCTGACAGGATCATATAAACATGTCTTAATATTGATTAAAATAGGCCTTTTAAATACTGCAATATCCTACATACTAATATACTATATGTCACAAGACTTTGCAAAATAACATTTTCTACTTTCCTGGCAATATGTCAGACCAGTCCAATAATAAACACATCCAGGTTTATTGTAAATATAATTATAAATATGTTTGCGATGTTACTCTGAGTGCATATCCACACCGGGCGAGCTTGAAAAATATGCCCGGCCACGGTGGGATTCGAACCTACGACCTTTGAAATACTAGCCCAAGCTTTTTTCAAGCTCGCCCGGTGTGGATATGCACTCAGAGTAACATCGCAAACATATTATTCACCTGAGTACACAACACAAACACAGAAAAATTCATAATTATAAATGTCCAACTGAATCAGCAGAAATAGGGAGGGTTTCAAAGGACTAGGCCACCTAGCTAACTAAGCTAAAAAAAGAAAGGTTATTAATTTTGCTCAGCCACACGCAAAATATTCTTTGCCCTTTCATGACCAAGAATCCTCAATGAGATATATTATTTATAAACACAATATAAAAATATGCAACGGATTCGAAAAGACGAAAACATTCAACTGATTCAAGCGACTATTATTCGTAGAGAGACTTCGTTTCGTGTCGTAAAAATCGTCGGAATTACTCTTCCCCAAAAAATGTCGCTTTAATCCATGTAGTTCACGTATAAATATCGTTGAACAGATCTTTTTAAGTTCACATATTTGCACAACGCCGACCTCGAACGCTTCAGCAATGCGCTTTAGCCATATTTAATTTATTACCTTTGTGTTAAATTCATGCATTATTAATACAAATTTATGCCCCCCAAATTTTGGGGGGCTGTAATGTGATTGGTCAGTCAGAACAATGTCGAAGCTCATTGACCCAGCCGTTAAGTGGGCGAGTGGCTAGAACACAACGGCTGGAATCTGAGCCTAGTCCCTGCCCGAATTGTATGTAAATTTTGTATAAAATTAGTTTTATTTATGTCTGTTATGTTTGGCGAATCTTGTAAAATAAAATATTCTTTCAACTGATATGCTTTTACAAACAGGATTAGCAAACACATGCAATTTCTGGCGGAATATTCAGAAGCACCTATTCTGTTGGCTATTCAGACTGTTACAGACTATATTAGACGGTTGCCGTTTGTGGTATCAACCCGTATTTTCATATAAAAAATATTTTGATTCGTGAATTAAGAATTATTATAAACTTTCTAAAGGTATATGTCTGAGTAGAATATTAAAATTAATTTAATTAATTTTGATTAACTCGCTATTTAATTTTGATCGTGTCCATGCAGTGTAATTATAGCACGGCAATGAATACCGAACTTGTATATCAAAAACTTCGTTGAAGTCAAGACAAGGAAATTAATAAACATGTTCGCAAAAAAACATAATTATATATATTTTTACCATAGAATAAGAAATGAATAGAAGGGCAACTCGCGTCGGAACCTTTGAAGTTTTTGAAGCCGCGCATGTCGCCTCGCGCATACCGGAAATTGCCCGCTCTAATCACAGGCGGCCCAATCTCGCAAGGGTCAGTATAGATTTTATACCATAGAAGCTTTATACAGTATAAATTTATATTATATTATATTAATTGTATATTATAGTAAAAATATGTCGTAAAATATAAATTTTAAAATGAAATTTACTTGCCTATTTGCTAGTGTGTGTTCTCCTTTTATTCCTCCTTTGTTGGACTAATATTTTCCGAGACTTTGTACTCCATGTTACTAGTATACATGAAACATGATAAAGGCTAACTATTCCCGATCGTCGATACGACGGCACGGCACTTCGAATCGAAAATTTTCACACTCAAATCGCTTTATTCTCAAAAAAATTCGCCAGCATGTACAACAAATGCCGTTCTTCGAAAATACAGAGGTACTTCGGCGAGATGTACAAGTTTTGGACCATATTTTAACAATGGAAATCAAAACCCATTTTATATTGAACTTGCCCAGGCCGAAAATTACTACGGCGAACGTCTGCGCAACCAGGCCTCCTTTACCGTTGGATTTACAGGGGGGAAGCAGATATTTCCGGTAACAGCCAGCCAATCGCGGCCGCGATAGCGACTGTTTACATTATTTGAAATTTGATATTCAAAATAAAAACTCCTTCGATCGGATACTGTATAAAACTCGAGATGTTGTCGAAGAAAAGAAAACTAAACGACGGAGATTGAAGAAATTTAAGGAAGAAGTAATATACAGCGGCTCTTTGTTGGAAAGCATGGTAGAATATGATACTTTAATTCGAAATATTATCGTGAATATATTAGTGGCATCCTCCCCCCTGTAAATCCAACGGTAAAGGAGGCCTGGTTGCGCAGACGTTCGCCGTAGTAATTTTCGGACTGGGCAAGTTCAATATAAAATGGGTTTTGATTTCCATTGTTAAAATATGGTCCAAAACTTGTACATCTCGCCGAAGTACCTCCGTATTTTCGAAGAACGGCATTTGTTGTACATGCTGGCGAATTGTTTTTGAGAATAAAGCGATTTGAGTGTGAAAATTTTCGATTCGAAGTGCCGTACCGTCGTATCGACGATCGGGAATAGTTAGCCTTTATCATGTTTCATGTATACTAGTAACACGGAGTACAAAGTCTCGGAAAATATTATAGTCCAACAAAGGAGGAATAAAAGGAGAACACACACTAGCAAATAGGCAAGTAAATTTCATTTTAAAATTTATATTTTACGACATATTTTTACTATAATATACAATTAATATAATATAATATAAATTTATACTGTATAAAGCTTCTATGG